TGATTCAATTAGTATGCAAATATATAAATTTTTAAAGAATTTTTAAAAAATTATTATAATAAATTTTTTGAAACTTATTTTTAATATTAAATTATTTTAAAACCTTAAAATCTTTGTTAACAAAATTAATAAATTATATATTAAACTATATTTTTTATATAGTAATAATATTACTAAAATTAATATTTAATATTTCATTAAAAAATTAATATTTTTTTTTAAATTTTGCAGGCAAATTTGCCTGCTAGACAATTTAAGGGATAAAGTACAAACTTTTGGATTTAATATTTAATTTAAAATTATAAAAATTTTAATTTATTAATTTGACATATTCTTATATTTAACTTTTTGTCTTTTAAAAATATTCTTGTAGTATTTAATGAATTAAAAATTAATATACCAGTTGAAGCTTATAAAATTATAAAATAGTTTAAAATTATTATATTCATAATAAAGTAAGGCATATATTAATAAATGGAAATATAGTTAAGTTTGTACTATTATTTTCACTTTTACTTTAGTCAGTTACTGATAATATTGAATATATTTTTCTTAAATTCAAAAACTTTAGCATTTAAGGTAAAAAACATTAGTAGGAAATACATATATAAATGTATTTAAAATAATGAAAAAAATGCAAAATAAATAAAAATAAATTCAATTCAATATAAAATTAATTTTATGAGGAACAATATGATCTTTATAAAAAATAAAGAATCATAATTATGAAATTCAAATTTAAAAGTATATAAGACCTTTGCAATAGAAAAGGTGGAAAATATAAAATGAGTTAATGCTAAATTAAACATATTTCAGCCTAAAAATCATATTTAGTATATAAAGTAAAATTGATTTTTTTAGCAGTTTTTCCTTTTCTATTATAAAAGCCCTATATAATGATTATAATAATAGATACTTATAGATTTTCTTAAAGGAATTGTACATAATATTTCATTTTAAAAAATTTATTAAACAATTTTTTCTTTTATATAATACATCTATTTAATATTAATAAAAATATCAATTTATATACTTTATAAAATTTATAACATTAATATTATCAGATGGTTAAATGATCATATTGATCAATTAAATGTATCAATTAAATAAACATGTTAGTCAAATGATTATTAATAAAGTGATTATTAATAAAATAATCATGTCAGTAAAAGTTTATTAGTAAAATAGTTATTGATAAAATAGATATCAGAAAATATATCAGACTCAATTTTAGAGTAATTTATAAAAAGAAATAATTAATATATGATTATCTAATTGCTTATATTAAGAGTTATTAATAAATCTTATATTTTCAGCAATAACATATATTATAAAATAGGTTTTTAATAAATTATTTCTAATAACTAGTTAGATAGTTATTTTTTTTAGTATTTATTATATTTAATGTATTATACAAGTAATAATGTATTATATCAAAATATTACAATTGATCCCTAATATAAAAGGTTAATATAGTGAACTCTTGATAAAATGAATTCTAGGATCTGAATATCAACTTGGTTATAAGCTTATAACGAATTTTTTAAAGAATTTAATTGGCTAGTTCACTATAGTAAGGTAATTTTAATATATTTGATTTAAAAATTCGCTATATTAAGGGTTCGCTATATTAAGGTTTGACTGTACATCACTATTTTAGTATTATCATAATTAATATAATTTGTATAATATCTTAATTTCTTAGAATGAATAGGATCTTGATATTATATTATAAGTTGATTTTTAATTGAGAAATAGATCATTTTATGTCAAAAAATACGAATTTTATTTACTAATATGTCTTAAAATCTTGGTATTTTATAATCTTTATATCATCTAGTATACGTATAGTTAAATTCGATCTATATTAGTTTTAACTTTATAATAAATTTTATAATTTTTTTGATTTGAGTTATATTAAAAATAAAAAAAATATAAATAATAGAATTAACATATTTCTGAAATGCTGAAAGAGAAAACTTTATATAAATATTTTAAATTTTTATTGTATTTATTTAATTTACTAAATTTTTGATTTATATAAAAATTTATATAGCAAATTCTAAATTAGTATTATAAGAATTTCAAAATATTTTATAGTTGAATATACTTAATTTTTAACATTTTAAGAATTATATATCCTGAGATTTTGTAAAGTAGTTTAAATTTTATATTTATTATAGCAGAAAGTAAAATTAAATTAAAAAAATTATTAACAAAATTTAAATTTATTTAATTTTAAACAAAGTGTAATATATTTTAAGAATCTAATTTTTAGTATTTGTGAAGATATGACTCTAAGATAAGTATGTTATTATAAGTATAATATAAATGATTATATTAATTTGTTTTTACATTTGATAAATTATTAATTTTAGAAAAATAGAATGCTAGAAAGGATACTAATATAACAATTTTACTAGTTCACTATTAATATTATTAAGATATGATTTAAGTGAAAAGAAGTGATAATTTAAATATATATAATTGTATAGGATAAATAAGATTAATATAATAATTATATAATTAGCATGATATATTTACATGAAAAATTTATATATTCTTTTATAATAGTCAATTATACAAAATTTACACATAATGAATTTTGATTAATTAAAATAAAGTTATAGATGATATAAATGATTTAGTTACAATAAAGGTTGCTTGTCTAAACTTATTTTAGATTTAGCTAAATGTCTAAACCTTTAATTTGCTAAATTTTTACTAAGTATTTGATAGTTTCACTATTTTTATAAGCTTTAATATAATTTTATCATTTTCTGAATTTTTAATAAGGTTTTAATATAATTTAACCAAGTTTTACTTTTATTATTTAAATACCTATTTAAACTTTAGATTTTGTTTAACAATCTTAGTTACAGTAATCAATTTTCAATTATTAGTAAATATGAGTTGTGATCTAAGAAAATCAAATATTAAGAATTTTTTATCAAAATTAAGATTTTAATTGCATTATAATTTTTAATTAAAATTTAATAAGATATTAATTTTAGTCAAAAAATTTTCAGAATTTAATTTTCATAGATAATATATAAATGTTTTTAATAAATTAAAACTAAATTATGAAATTATTAATAAGTATAAATATTTAATTAAATTTATTTGATTAGCTAAAGATTTTAATTATATTTATTTATATAGTTTGATTAAATAATGTTAAATATAAACTTAATATAAATTAATAAACTAAGTAAAGTAAGTAAATAAAAAAATTATGTAAATAATGTTAATTTATTTGATAATTTATATTATTTAATTATTTAATAATTTTTATGTAATAATATTAATCATTATATTAATATAAATTAATAATTTTAAAGTATTAACTTATTTATATAGGATTGGATAAAATTATTAGAATCTGATTTTTTTCTTATTTTAAAAATATACAAATTATCATAAGTTTTATTATTTTAAAAAATTTTTTTTTATAAAATTTATAATTATAGCAAATCTCATAATTCACTGATCACCCTCTAAAAATTTAATTTTCAATGTCTGAATTCAGTTATTCATACATTAAAATTTTTGTATAATTTCATATTATCTCTGAATCTTTAAAATTAATTTATTATATATAAATTCTTTACTTATGCATGAGAATTTCTGGCTAATAATTTTTTTATGAAAAAATGTTGAAATCATGTAAAATAAAAAAATTGAAATTTAATATAAATGGTTTTATAATAAATGGTATTTATAGTTTATATTATAATCAGTTGTATAAATCACAATATATGAAATATCTGAATTCAGACATTAAAAATAAATTTTTAGGAGTAACGAATTATGAAATTTGCTGTAATAATATTAAATTTATTTTTAACAATAATTACAATAATTAATTATTGAAAGCTATAATAAATAATGTTTTATTAAATATGCTATTAAACAAAGTGGTTTTTTTATATTTTATTTCCTTAATTAGATTAAAATCAATTTGATCTTCAAAATTATTACGTAATAGGAAACATATTGTGTAAGCGGAAAAAATTGTCTTTTACGTTGAAACACCAAAGTCTAACTATGTGGTGAAAATTGTTCAAGTTGAAGGAGTTGTCGCTTAAGGTGAGACCTTAAGTTATAGTTTCGGGAATGGAAATTAATAAGAACAAAGTATATGTATGATTTCAACAAGAATTAAAGTAAATACCTCAACAACAACAATCGAACAGTTATGGTTTTAGTTCGTCTTATTCAACGTTTCAGGTCAGATAGAATTATAGATAAACGTGATATCGAACTTTTCTTATTGATTTAAGATTTCAGTATAATCGGAGGAATAGCATACTCAAGTGTTTTTATTTGAATATAGATTACATATTATGTCCCTAATATTAGGATCACTATTTTCATGATTCTATTGTCTGAAAGTTATAATAATAGTGTCAGATAAACTGAATTATAGTTCTCCTGGAGGGGATGTTTCACGGCACTTAAGAGTATCACATTGGAAACAGAACTTTATGGTTTCAGGTAGGTTGGAACGTATGATGTTGCTTTCGATCAATCACAATAACATTGGCGCTAGCTTGGAATTTGATTCAGTTATAGAAGTCGTTTATTATATCAAATTTGCCAATTTATTCATTATTCCATACTTCTTTTTTTTTAGCTGCTTTCTGCCATGAATAGAGTAGAGGATCCACGATGTGAAGGGTATAGTCTTATTTTGGCGCGTCTCATATTTGGATTAGTTGGTTTATAATTGTGAGTGAGTGAAATCTGAACCTTGGATCGCTTAGGCATAGCGTGCTTTTCCTTATACGTGCAGCAGTCCTTACAGGTAGGTAAGAAAAGTTTGAGGTTTGGACCGTTGAATAAGATTGGAAGAGAGTTGTCATTCCTGTGAGTAGTGGAAGTCCTCGTCATGTTGGAAAATTATCTTGTACTGACATTATATCACGTTGGTTTGAAATGGGACTGACATGGCATAAAGTTTGGAATTAATTCGATCAGAGGGGTGGTTCTTCAGAGGGTATCGTCAATGATTATTTATTTTGGATGTGTAAAGTTTAGCATCTAATAGCCCATGACATTATCTCCGGGATGGGAATTTTGCTAATATTTGAGAACTGGAATCTATTTCGTGGTTTTTGCTAGCTTAAATGTTTTGTCGTCTCTATATGTGAGAACGTCGACTTTGTTTATATTTTCTCTAATTTAAATATATATATTAATCATTTTAATAAAAAATTGCTCCGTCATATGATTTTGGACGATAAGATAACCATTCAAGAAAATCGTTAGTTAGAAATGCTCATTAAATAAAATCTTTAATCTTTGTCTCCTCTATTGAAGAGTGAAACCAGGGTTGATATGAAAGCACGTTATTGTTGATGCATGAATAGAATCAATCCGAAATGTGAATTGATTACTTTAATTCAGTAAGAGTAGTGATTATACCATTATCTGTTGGTTTTTGCTCTACTACGTAGATGCAAAATTTATGTTTTGTTAATTATTTTTTGAGAAAAAAAAAAAAATATTTAATTTTTTATTGAGAAAAGTAGCATCATATTTACATATTGTAATACAAAAAAATATATATATAAATCTACATTATAAAGGAAGATGGATGTTGAAGATTTCGAAATCAAGAATTTTATATTTGAATTAATCAAATGTACAAATGAACTTAATTTTAAAAATAAAAAAAAGTCCTAATTCAAAACGAGATAATTATAAATTAACCTTCTAACAACAAAGAAGTGTTAGAAAAGTTTGAAGCCAATCAATATTACATAATTTTTTTGTTGCTTTTTAATTTACAACAAAAAAGACTGTGATTGTGAAGCAACAAGTGAATTCACAATCACATTGATTTTTCGCATGATGTATGCATAGTTGACTTTAAATTTTGATAGTTAGCTTCGAAACAATTGAAGGCGGCATTTTTTGAAGCTCCTGAATCATTATTAGGATATGAAAATTAGGATTTTTGAAATTAGGACATGGAAATTAAAATATGATATTAGGATATGGACAATACCTTATGTTTCGAAATTTAGTCTTTATAATATTATAATTTTTTTTTTTTTTTTTGGTGTTTCGCTTTTTTTTTTTCGATATAAAAATATAAAATTGATGATTTATTCGCGCGCGAGTGGTTTTTCGCGAGTGATAAATAAATAATGTTTATTTATATTTAATTAACCGTGAATTTCCCATCCCTAGATATGTCGACTAGATATGGGTATATGATAATCTAATAAATTATTTCACGTGCGCACTGTTCACGAGAAATCTATTTTTGATTATCGCATCTTTTTTTTCCTTGTTCAAAAGTGCATAATCATAAACATCTACGTAAGGAATATCTAAAAATGAAAACAGGAATATATGCATTTCTTCAATTGGTTACATTAAAAAAAATTGGTCTTATCTTATCTTACTGACTATACTAAATATATAAATCACTAAAAATATACACAGTATATATACATACACTCTATTGTCCAATCGCTTCCAAAAGGGCAAGCGACTTGAATGTGGTCGAATTGGAGAGGGTGGGCCAGGATTATGATTTAAATAAAATAAAATATCTTCTATCACTTAAATTTTGTAAATAGAATAAAATTACGCTCATAATCCTGTATAGAAAAATGATGTTACACTATAATTAGCAAATAAAATTATTAAAATTTTATTATGTTTTGTTAAAATAAAATCTATTTTTTTTTACAATGGCCTCTTTTTCACTTTTTACACGTCAATTTTAAAAGTTATGATTCCAATACCTTTACGGTCACAGAGAAAGAAATTGGTAAGATATATTAGAATTAACAATAACTAGCTCTTCAGAATATACTATTATTTTTAATATATTTCTCATTTAATCTGTAAAGAAATAGAAATAATTTTGTTAGAAATCAAAATAAAAATCTAAAAAATTTTCAGAACATGAATTTCCTAGAAACCTTAAAGATCGAATGGTAAAAAATCTTGAATTTATTTCGTCAGCACCTTTTACAAAAATACGTAAACACTGTGATCATTCTATGACGTTGTTGTTGCGATGTTTTTAATATTTAAAACTCCATTCGTTTAATTGCACATTTTTACATTTTTTTTAAAGCCGATGAAAGGTTCGTTTGTATATTCCTTGATCATTATCAATAAACATTAATAAAATAATAATAATTCATCTTCTCTTGCATCTTGAAAAGAAACTGATATTCTACCACATGATATCAGATCTTAGATACTTCAAATAATTATAAAATAACGTGTTGAAAATCTTTATAAGCTAAAAGCGCGATAAAAAAAAAGATGTGACGCGTGGTTTGTAATCCAAAGATTCACTTGACACTTGACCAATCATACGTAGGTGTAGAAATGAGATGAACAAATTTAAAATTTTCCATTTACTATTCTGTTCTATGTTCTTAAAAATTTAACAATTTACCTCTTTACAAAATTGACCGCTTCGAAAATCCCCACTAGAACTTCAATAAAAGGTCACCAAACATGTAAGCAACCAAAAGCACCAAAACCAGCTGTTGCAAAAACAGTTGAAGAAATATATTAAAAAATTTCTCCAGTTGAACACGTCTTGCTGAGACCGACTCTTTAAAGAAAAGAGGTTGTTTTTGATTATGATTAGCAAAGGCTTGTTTACAGGTAAATTTTTTTTTTGAAGTTTATAATGGTTTCGAACACTTATTACAAGTATATCTCATATATCTTTCTTCAGAGAAAATTATCTACGTAACTTGGTTAAATAAAATATTGGATTAGACCTTGGTAAATGGTGCTGATAACAAGGTACGATTTATTAGAACGTTCGTTAGTTACTTATGTCGTTAAGTTTTGTGTTGTTTATTAATTTTTTTCGTTAATATCAGGTTCGAGACCAAAGAAATGAATTTTATTAAAGTTGATATTGACAAAGAAGGTGGTCAAATTTCCATCTTTAATAACGGAAAAGGAATTCCTATTGAAATGCACAATGATCAAAAAATCTACGTACATGTACCTCAACTGCATCTTACAAATTATGATGATAAGAAAAAGATGTTTCTGGTGGTTGTAATGTTTCGGTGCTAAATTAGCGAACATATACAGATGGATTTCACTATGGAAACTTCTTCAAATTGCAAGAATTTCGCCAAACTTTCAGGAACATGATCGTAATCGAACAACCAATTATCACTGCTTGTCCTAAAGGTGAATACACGGTGGTCAGATTTTCAAGTTTAATATGGCTCGGTATGATGATGACATTATTGCCTCTTAAAAAAGCGTATATACGATATGGCGGGGTGTGTTGAGGAAGTTCAAGTGTTCTTGAATAGTGAATGAGTAATCGCGAAGACTTAAAATCTTCATTAATATAATAAATGTGGTGAACGATAAATTGGATCCCTTCCATCTATTTGTTCTCAATTCCATTATGTAAGTTTTTACTTTCTTTTTTTAATACTTGATCTTGCATATTAAATGGTTTGCGGAAATCGTATAAATTCTAAAAATTTTCGTGTATTCACCATTCAAAGCTTCGTTAAAAGATATGTACTACAAAAGAAGGTACCCACGTTTAGCAAAAATTAAAAAAAATCATATGTGGATATTCATCAATCTGTTCGATTGAAAATCCATCCTAACGATTCTCGGGCGAAAGAAAATCTTACATTAAAATCCACATCATTTGGATCTACACGCGATTACAGTGACGCCGCCTTTAATAAACGTAAATATTTCATAGAATATCGTATTACTTTGTTTTTGCTTGTAAAAAAAAATTGTTTTTATATATATGATCCATTGATTTTTCTTCTATTATAATAGTTCTCAAATGTGTTATCACATTAAAGAATTAAAGAAGATGGATGGGAAAAAGAGTAAGAAGTAAATAAATTGTCGGTGGGAGGGGGAATTGATAAAAAAATTTGTTAATAAATTCCGATATATTTTTAATAGAATCACTGGTATCTCAAATTTGGAAGATGCAAACAACGCTGGTGATAGAAATGCTTAAGGAAGTATCTTAATCCTTACCGAAGGTGACTGCAAAATCTTTGGAGTCGCCGGGCTTTCCGAAGTGGACGCGAAATTTATGGAATTTTCCCACTCCGAGAAAACTTTTAAATATTCGAGGTACTCTTTAGATCATGAATAACTCAGTGATCAACAAATAAAGCACATCCTTGGAAGCAAGGAAAAGAATATACATCAACGAGTAAATTACGATATGGGCATCTGATGATCATGACGGATCAATATCACAATGGAGCCATATAAAAAGGTTATTCAATTTCTTGGATCATTTCTTTCCATCTTGCTAAAAAATTCCGGGTTTCTTATGGGATTTATCACCTATTGTAAAGGTATGAAACCATTCAATCACGCTAATACATAACTTCGAGATCGAATAATCATTTAACAATTTTTATTAATGTACGCAGTGTGATAAAGAAGTGTCATTATTTACCATGTCTGAATATGAAAATTGGATGGAGATGACCCCTGATGCTAAAAATTGGAAGTCAAATATTACAAGGTAATTTTCATTTATATATATTTTACAATAATTGATGAAACTATATAATAAATTCTCATGTTTCTAGGATCTTGGCACCAAAGAAGCTAAGCAATATTTAAAAAATTTAAAGCGCCATAAAAACCTTTTGGAGCAATCAAGAGAGTGAACGAGAGTTGATCGATATGGTCTTTAAGCTGATCGCAAGAAATGGTTAAGTAATTATGAAGTATGTATAGAAATTTTTTTTTCTGTTGTTGTTACTTGGTTCCGGAATGTAACCTTTTTAACGAAAATATACATTCTAAAAATTTATATTCCTCTAGATCGGTATTTACTTGGATCATGAACGATAACGAATTTTATAAATAAACAGTTGATCTTTTTTCGAGCCGATAATGAACGTATGTTCTCGACGGGCAGAGAACACTTGTTTTAAGAAAATTTCAAGAACGAAATTAAAGTTTCTTCGTTAGCCGGGGCCGTTTTAGAACGAGCGGCTTATCATCATGGGATGCGAGTCTTCAAGGTACAATCATCGCAATTTTGTCGGTTCAAATAACATCAATATCTTCATGAAGGTCAATTTGGTATAATTGCTCAAAGTGGAAAAAATGCAGCTAGTGCTCGTTATATCAGCGTTGCAATCTCTGAATTTACTCGAAAAATATTCCATCCTCATGATGACTCATTACTATCATATTGTAATGATGACGTTCAGTCGGTAGAACCAGAATGGAATTTACCGATTCACCTTGTTAATGGATCCGAAGGTATCGGAAACTGGTGAGTTAATAAAAAAAACAAATCGTCATTAAAGTAATTCATATAACACATAACATATATTTATCTTATAATTATTAGGTTGGATTCATCCTCGCGATATCGTTAACAATTTAAAACGATTAATTAATAATGAATATCTAAGTCCAATGCATCCCTGGTATCGTGGGTTCCAGGTAACATTATTAATAATTGACAAAATCCTTTAACAGACTTTTCGAATTCTCTAAATATTAAATATTTTTCTCATAACTTATAGGGCGAAATTGAACATGTAACAAGACCAATGACAAGATCCACCAAGTTAACGATGTGTCCATCCTAATTATCGAATTAAGACGCTAATTATAAAGAACAGCTTGAATTGTGGATATCTGTAACAATAAAGTGCCAAGCTGGATCCTTGTACGTAAATTTTATGTAGTTAATACGCCTTAGAAATTTTTAATATTTCTATTAAATTTATTTTCATAAATAGGAGTACAAAAAATTACATACAACTACCGTAGACTATACGAGTTATCGCTAACAAATCTAAGAGATTCTTTAGAAGGAGGACTCGAAAATAGATTAAAGATAACTCGACCATCGGAACGTCGAACATGGTGTGTTTCGATGGTGAAGGTCGTATTCGAAAATATAATTCACCCGAAGAAATCCTAAAGGAATTTTACTTGATTACTATTGTAGGAGGAAGGTTCGTATATGGGACCTAAGGGGGAAGCTGCCGAGAAAAATCATATATGCCAATATGATATTTAGGTTGAAATATAGCATTACCTCATTTTTATTTTCCCGGCAGTTTCCCCCTTTCTATTGCAAATTATTAATGTAATTGTAGAGTAGGATTCTAAATTTATAAGTCTCAATTAATTTTTAGGGTCACATGATATACATATTTGAACCGAATGTAACAAGAATAAAGTAGATTTATTAATATGAAGGTTAAGAAAGCCCTTAATTTTATAAGGCATTTCGAGAATTGTGTCTATTGAATTATTAGAGTCCAATTGCTTTGAAAGATTGACGTACGATGATGATGACGATAAGGACGATAAGAATGCAGCTTGCTATTTATATTGATGGATATGATTATTTGATGAAATTTTTCAGTGTGGAGTTTCTGAGTAGAAGACGTAAGTTCTCTTGATACAAAAATACATTTTACTTTATTCGGTAATATTAAGAATATCTTGATAAAAATCTCCTTCTTTTATTAGGAGCAAAAGGTCCTAAAAAAAAAGGCCGTGAACTTAGAGAAGTTAGGAGGAAAACACCTCAACAGATGCAGATGCAGATGCGGATAGAGGATCTTGATTGTTTTATCTAATCTTGGAATGAAAGTTTTGAAAAAATTATATATATACTGTATATAAGCATGGCAGACATTTGTATGATTGGTCAATTTTTATGTAGATCATTTCCTAATTATCAATGAGGTGATTAATTTTG